TGTTGTAGAAGATTCTCGAGTGTAAGAACCAACAATATATGTGTGTACCCAAGCGTTAAGTGTGTAGCGTCAGTATTGTTACGACAGCGGAAGTCACGTGACGCTAGTAACACGTCATGATATTCTAGAAGGATCATGTTTGTTCGTGACAACTCTGGTCTTTTCTACATGCCCTCTATTCTTGTATATAAGTGCGCCAGATAAAGCGAAATTAATTAATCGGAATAGAATAGCAGACAAAGAAACTGAAGATATAGACGGACAGTTGAGTCAAACGCGGTAGTGAATAAATTGCGTGAAACGTTCGTTGTGAATTATAGCGTGTGTTTAAGTTAAAGTGACTGTGGAAATTAAGTGTATTGCAAAGTTGTATTTAGAAAGAATACACTAGTTTTATTTAAGAAAGGACTTGTATCGCTGAAGTTTCTCGGGAAGAATTTCTACAGGAAATTAACAAACGAACAGAGACGTAACAGTATTGTTGCGTAAGCTGAAATTTCGAGAAACTCTCCTCACGTCTATAACTATGACCAATGCGATGCTCTAACATTCAACTTTCATATTTAGTCTCTTATTTACCATCGCTATTTTCACTTATTTAAAAAAAAACGGTAATTCAATTATAATAAAGCGAATTTAAAGATATACTCGCAAATGGAATCGATTAGAATTTAGCCATGTCGTAGTCTTTATCCAAAAAGGAATATACTTATAAATATTGATGTATAAACTAGAAAGGCACTCAGAGATTAGAACCCACCCACCATCGCCCAGCAGTATTTTTTATTTTTTAGTAACCCAAACTATAGTATACACCAAACAATTCCTACCCTCTCAAATGTAGATCTAGATGCCACATTTGTTCTCTATTTTTGACTGTCTTTCAAAATCTAAATTTGGTGCGATTAAGACAAATGATCTTTTCACCTGTAATCACCAAAAGTTAAACAACTGATCTTTGATGGGACACTCAACCTTTTGTGGCGGATTTACTATTATATATTAATTTTGATATCGATGTTTGTTTAAATTAAATTTATATTTAGAAATCTACATAACGTACACTGTTAAATATGTATTGCGAAACTCCTGCCTATTATCTAAAGTTGTAGAAGATTCTCGAGTGTAAAAATCAACAATATATGGGTGTACGTAAACGCTAGTGCAGCTTTGTATTGTTACATAATATGAATTTTCGAGTAACTCTCCATACGCCTATAAATATAACCAATGCGATGTGCCAAAAATAGTATCTATTATTGGTTTGCTATAGTTGGTGGGCTATAAACTTCGGAAGCTATAGCTGTGGTTGTTATAACGCTTATTAGTCGGGACTCTTCAGATATTTGACCATGAACATTTGTTAATTTCGAACATTACAAACCATTTAACTTCAGTGGATTCACATCAGACATTAATACTTTTACGAAAACACCTAACTTCATCGGTGTAAAAAATCGGCGTATGATCAGCGAAGACCACAGAGCTAGCTAGCTCCCTATTAAGTGAATTGTACCTACGTCAACTCAGAATTAACTCGCTCATCGTGAACCGTTGATAAGATATCAAAAACGTTCCACACTAGAAAGAAGACTTCATATAGCTTGTAAGTTTGTAAAACTTTTGTATGTAAATCATTGTTTGTAATAACTATTTGTAATAACTGTTGTTGCAAATTGTATTATTGGTTGTATATTAAAATATATTGGTATTTAATAAAAAGAAAACTGTATGTATCAATCTTGTTAGCAAATATCATAAACTGGATATACATCAGCATTTATTTAACTACCAAATCTAAATAACAATTTAACTCAGTTGAGGCTATTTGAAATTGTAATACGTAACAATGGCATTAACACCTTTAAGAATTTGCATGCATGCTGGAATTATAGTGAGAAGTATACAATTCCTAATTTACATCTAATTACTTGTAACAGATGCAATTATATATCATAGTTTATCAAATTCACTTTCGTATTGCGACCAATGTTTTTGCTGAATCTAATGTAACTGTTAAATAATCTATCTGATACATGATATTGTTTACTTCTACATTTATAAAAATAGCTTATTGCAGACAAAAAATGTGTACTAAATACTGGCATAAGCATAATGAAGACAGACCAATGTTCTGTCGAAACGTGTAGTATGCTCCTCCAAAATAGCTAACATTAATTGTATATGCCTTCAACTTCAAATGTTTCTTAACTGACCAGGTATGTATTGTTATAACGTTGTTTTTTCGCTTCAGAGTTGAAAATGATTCAAGGTCCAGTCCGTGTATACTATAACAAATAAGATTATTTCTTACTTAACTTTGTCACGAGCTTAAATTTTGTACGCTATTGTAACTTGTTGTAGGCCTAGCTTTACAAATGGCATTAATTATACTACATTAATGTAAAGAATAAACACGTGTACCACTTCACGACTGAAACGAAAACACACCTCTTCATCTATCTTTGTTGATACTTTGATGGCCTCCAGTGACCCAGCAATAAATCTGGTAGATTATAAAGCTACAAATCGGTTTTCGATACTCGCAGTAAGCACAGCACAGATAGCCCATTGTGTAGCTTTGTGTTTCAAAATAAAAAAAACACAAATACTTCACTGAACCTAGTGTATATAATCTACCCTCGAATTTACTATTTATTACACTCTTTGATCTTAACGTCATCATTACAAACAGCTCTCATTAGCTAACATCTAAGCTACAACGCTAAAATATAGTTTATAATACTACCCTTTCCCGGAATGTGAAGTCCCTTGAACAACCCTATTGTTACGTCTCTGTTCGTTTGTTAATTTTCCGTATAATTTATTTCCGATGAAACTTCAGCGACACAAGTCCTTTCTTTAATAAAACTAGTTTATTCCCTCTCAATACAACTTTGCAATACACTTAATTTCCACAGTCACTTTAGCTTCAACACACACTATAATCCACAACGATTCACGCACTTTACTACCGTGCTTGACTCAATTGTCTGTCTCTGTCTGTCTGCAATCATCTATCTATATATATGCCGTAACTTCTCGGCGGTCTTATATATAAAAAATAGAGGGTGTATCTAGCAAACGCTAGGACGTTCGACAGGTTCCTCGATCTTTCTAGATACTCATTACGTGTTACCAGCGTCACGTGACTTCCGCTGTCGTAACACTATTAAAAAATAAGCACAACACTAAACTATCCATTCATCAAGTCTTTATGGGGACTTTTTCTCTTGAGGTCCACGGTTTACAAATTATATGGTGCCTTATTGTCACAGGCCATTCTCTTGCTGAAAGAGTTCGTCCTGGGTAGGTGGTCTAATGAATCCATTGGCAACTTCATCTTTGATAATCCACAGAAGGTAGCCTGGACAAGAACTTCAGATTCCTCAACAGGATTGTGGTTTGTTTCCAGTACCTTTATGTACTGTTGTAC